AGACTGTGGGGGCAATATGCTGACTCTGTAAACCGCTTAGAGAGGGCTGAAAGCCCTATGAAGCGCTATATAAGTCTAACTGCTATTGCTATCAGTCAAATGAGGACCCAGATTGTTGGGGGGCAAGGGGCCGATTCTGTAAACTGCTTAGAGAGGGCTGTAAAAGCCCCGTGAAGCGGTATATAAGTCTTAAGGGCTAAGTGGGAATACCCCCAAATCTCCCCGATTGGTCAACATTGAAAGCCACCTGATGGCTCCTCCGGTGCCCCCTGGTCTGATCCATCCGGGGGCCCCGTTAACAGTCATACCTTGTGTGCCTTGGTCAATGAAGGTTGAGTGCCCCCTCCCCACTGCAGCCGGATAGCTGGCTCTTCTGGCAGCTGCTGCTCCCGCCCACTTAGCATTATCCCTGTCCGCTTCCCCTCCTCTTCTCCTGGGCAATCCCCCCTCTGGGTTGCAGCCCGCCCTGCAGAGAGGCATCCCAGGCCCCCCCTCACCTGATGTCCCCCCCAGCAGGCTTTTCAGACAGCCCTACCCTCACCCTCCAGCCCCAATGGCCCCTTCCAGAGCTGCAGGGGCCGCTCCTTGGAGACCGGAGCCCTGAGCGGCTCCAGCAGGTGAAGGTGGTGGGTGCTTCAGCTGCTTCCCTCCTTCGTCCCCCGCATGGCTCCTTCCCTGCTCATTAAGGATCCTTTGTCCTTCACGCTGATCAACTAAGGTCTGCGGGGCTCAGAGGCGGGGCGAGCCAGCGAGTCAGCGAGTGGTGGGCGGGTAGGTAGGCGGGGCAAGCATGGTGCGGATGGGCGGGGCGAGAGAGAGCGAGAGAGCGGCGACCAGGTGCGCTGGGGGAGCGAGTGGGGACAGGGCAGGGGACCGTACCGGTACGGGGGCGTGGCCAGGCTGCCATCACTACCGTTTCGGAAAGGTACGGCCAATTTCCACTACCTATTTGGCCGAACCGGACCAAACCGATAAGAACCCACCTCTAGTCTTGAATCATCTGCGTAATTAACTAAGGGCAAAGCCACAGCTGTCTGTCAAAGCCCTCCTAAGTTATGTGTGGAGCAGAGGGATCGGTCCCCTCCTCTTCTTGGATGGATTATTCCCTGCCCACCGGTGCTTCCTCTCCAGATGGGGAGGATAGGAATGACCCACCGCCCTCTAAGCATGACCAGCTACAACTCCCAGAGCGCCCGGTGGCAGGGAGAAGGAGAAGGGCTGGGGGCGTGGGGGCGTTCTCATAGCTTCCTTGACAGCTTTGGGGGTTCTGCCAATTGGATGGGGGTCTTTAGGGCATGGCGCCCCTTTTGGTGGTAGAGGACAGGAAGAGAGGATGAGGAGAGGAGAAGAGGGGGAAGGAGAGGGAAAGAAGAAAGAGGAAAGGAGAGGAAAATGGGGAGGGATAAAAGGAGGAGGAGGGAGGGTAGGAAGGGGAGGAGGCAGAGAGGAGTAGGGGAGAAGAAGGGAAAGGAGGAGAAGAAAGTAGAGAAGGGAGGGAGGGAGAAAAGGAAAGGAAAGGAATAGAGTGGAGCTAAAACAAAATAGTTCTTTGGGGATGGTAAGCAAAGCAATCCCGATAATATATTGTAATTTTTCATATGGAAAAAATGAATGTTTAAATGTGTGATAAGAATAATAACTAAGAGAATGTATACTTGTAAATGTGTGTACGAGGCTAAAAATTTAAAAAAAGAAAATTTTTACAAAATCTTCAAAGTGGTGGCGGTGGTGGTGGTGGTGGT